GGCTCCAGAAACGATGAGGGATAGTCGGTTTCGTCATAGACGAGTACCCTCCGCTGTATTTGCCAGGGAACTCGGTCCCCTCCGATGGCACAGATCCCGCAGCGCGAAGGAGGGGGCACGGTTTCACCACGACGTGAAACCCCCTCCGCTGTATTTGCCAGGGAACTCGGTCCCCTCCGATGGCACAGCTCCCGCAGCGCGAAGGAGGGGGCACGGTTTCACCACGATGTGAAACCCCCTCCGCTGTATTTGCCAGGGAACTCGGTCCCCTCCGATGGCACAGCTCCCGCAGCGCGAAGGAGGGGGCACGGTTTCACCACGATGTGAAACCCCCTCCGCTGTATTTGCCAGGGAATTAGGTCCCCTTCCGATGGCACGATCCCGGCGAATCCAATTGCCTGGGAACGACACGATGCCGGGCAGTGTATCATCAAAGAATGATGGGCCCGGACACGTCAAGAGTACGAGCAGCACCGTGAGCAAGCCCGCGCCGGTCAGATCAAAATGTTGCACAACATTTTCGAACTAGGCTCCTGACCGAATCTCAGTCCTTCGAGAAAACTACGCTACAGTGCTTGCAGGCCTGCACATCTCCCTCTTGCGAAGTCACATCCTCCAAGCCGGAGTAATGACGATTGAGGGGGCGGCCGCACAAAAGTTTCTGCAGGTCAAAACTTGCGTGCATGATCCCAGAGATGTTGTGGACATACAAGTGCTGTCGAGGAACCGAAGCCAGCGATTCAGGGACCGCGATCTCCTTCACGCGGTCACTCGGCTCAAAAGCTGTCGAGGGATCAATGTCGTTCAAGTCCGGCTCGGATCCAGACTCAGAAGGTACGTACTCACCTAAGTCGGGGTCCTCCTCTTCGCCTGAAGTCTCACCTAGAAGCTCCATGACTCGGCGAGCCCTCCCGCGATCAGGAGAAAAGGAGCCATCGAGGATCTTGTCCAACAAGCGGCGAGTCTGGACGGCGAGCGGAGTGTAGCTGTCTCTGCTGTAGATGAGCACAGACCTGGACTCCCTATCGAAATGGTGGCCCATCAGCTTTTGATCACGCTCGCTCCACCCTCCAAGTTTGCTTATCCATGAAAGAAGCGTGGCCTTCAAACCATGAGATGTGATGTCCTCGACTTCACTGGGCGACGATCCCGCCTTGCACAAGAGGTCGCGAAGCCACAAAGTAGCCTCGGTGGAAGACATAGGCGCCTTGCCGAATTTGCCAGTCCTCTCGCAGTAAGTTGGCAAAGCAGGGCCCGTCGAGTCGAGGCCGAAGTGACGGCGCGAAGCTAACCAAGCATCCGCCCACGGCTTATGGTAGAGGCCCCTCCCTAAACATATCAAGGGGAGCAAAATCGACCTGTCACGTGCAGCATGCGAAGTCTTGTGTTTTGAAGTTGCAGTTTCTACCAAGTAGATGCGACCAGCACTCGAAAGAGAGATATCAGCCAGATGGAGAGAATCATCCCACCTAGCACACGAGTAGAGGGCGAAAAGAACCTGGCCCCCTATCAAAGAATCCAGGCTGGGGGCAGAATCAACCACATGCTTCTCGAGGGCCCACACCTGGTCAGCCGTGAGGACCTCGGATTGTTTGGTGGGCCTCTTCCGAGCCATCTCCCCACGAGCCAGACCTTCGCACCGCGATGAGAACTCGACCTCCTTCGGTAGACCCTTGATCTTAACAACCCCATGAATGAACCTAATGGCAGAGAGCACCGACGAGGCGGCCGTAGCTCCCCGTTTCTGCTCCCTAAGAAGGCTCAGGTACTCATAAAGAATCTCCTCCTGGAAATCCAAAGGAGGAACCCCTTTGTCGTTGAGGAAGCAGCAGCAGCTCCACAAAGAAGAAACTCGCTTTAAAAGTGTGCCGGTGCTCTTCGAAACAAATGCATCGCGGAAGCTGCGGGCCACCACTTCCTCGTCCTGAAGGGCCCCGGCCGCGTTGACCAAGGCACAACCCAATTCTGATAAAGAAGGGTCCTGAAGGACAATGGTACGAAGCTTTCTCAGCTGCAAGGCACGGACCTCAGACTCATCACGATGTAGATTGCTAAGACGAAGCCTCTTCCTGACGAAGTCTGGATACGAGTGCTTAGGCATGGAAGTCGGAGCCATCACAGCCGGCTGAGCAGAAGGAACAAAAAGATCTCCGACTCCCACAGAATGATGCTTGAGTGTTGGCTTCAAATGAGACGGCAGAGCAGCCCAAATGCCCTGCTCCCACGGAAACTTCGGAGCAGACTCGGAGATGCTCCTGCTTATGGCCGATGCCAAGAAATTCTCATAAGACATTCTCTGACCATGACCCATCTGCAATTCCGATCGAACCCCCGATGACGACGAAGGCTGGGAATGAGTCATCGGAGCAGATATAGAAGTAACGGCCGCAGCCGGATCAGAAGACGGATTAGCCCATGAGCCATCGGATTCCTCAGCTAAGCCGAACGAACCTGCCGTATCATCCCCCGCAGATCCAGGGGAGTTCGGAAAGACTGGCTCGTCATCGGGCCACATCTAGCCAGCAGGCCCAGGAGTAGGAGCCTCCGAAGGTGGCCCCGACTGTCCCATGCAGCGCACAAGCTACAACGTCGGAGGGGGCCCCGGTTCGGAAGCCTGTTAGGGCCTCCGAAGAAAAAGTTCACAATGCGATTGCCCGAGCTTGATGTGAAAGCGGTGCGCGGGCACTCTTCAAAGCATGTACAGGTTTACAAGTGAAATCATGTCGACATGAAGGAACGGACGTTGTTCCATAAAAAGGTACAAAAGTCATCATGTAAATTCCATGACGATTTCATACAAAAGATTCTGAACCGATGTTGTTGGTTTGGAATGTCAGCAACCAAAGCTTGGACAAATGGAAAACCGCTCGTTACCTCGCTGCCCCACCCAAAGAAAGGTATATCAACTTCGTTGACGCTGACCGTTCAAGTTAGAGCCACCTCGAGCCAAACTGCTGCAGGTTAGGGTTGGGCGAAGGTGCACAGAGCAACGTAACTAAACCCTAAACCAAACTCGCGAAGCTCAGAAGGTCTCACTCTTTTCACGTGGTGACTTTGGGCGACAAGTCGGTTAGCACTCGCATTGCGAGTGCAAGTTTGTGCGGTGCACACGGAGACGGCAAGGCTGCCGCACTGCAAAAGGCTTGAGTGACACAGCAGCAGGAGCTGCACAAGTAGACGCGGTTGCAACTAAGCTGGCTGTCGTGAGCAGAGCAAGCTTCCTGAAGGAGCACAGCCGGGCGGCGTGCTACACTGCAAGCTACTTCCCCCCAGGGCGGGTGGGCGGGAACTAAAATTTTTGCAAGTGCAACACCATGTCATGAGAGCATTGCTGTTTCATGCAGTAACATGCAATGCCTGTCTCAAGCTTGAAGCCAACAGGCAGCGGATGGCTGAAGAGTCCTTTGAACAAGATGCAAGCTGCAATCTGCGAAGTATCACATGCCAAAAAGGCAAGCAGCCAAAAAGGTGGAAACTTACTAAACTCGAGGTGGCCAAATTCTTTTCCTTACACCCGTAAAAGAATTCAGAAGAAAACTTTCACATTTAAGGCGCTAGCAGCGGAGCGCTGCCAACACGCTTAACTGTTCAAGTTAGAGCCACCTCGAGCCAAACTGCTGCAGGTTAGGGTTGGGCGAAGGTGCACAGAGCAACGTAACTAAACCCTAAACCAAACTCGCGAAGCTCAGAAGGTCTCACTCTTTTCACGTGGTGACTTTGGGCGACAAGTCGGTTAGCACTCGCATTGCGAGTGCAAGTTTGTGCGGTGCACACGGAGACGGCAAGGCTGCCGCACTGCAAAAGGCTTGAGTGACACAGCAGCAGGAGCTGCACAAGTAGACGCGGTTGCAACTAAGCTGGCTGTCGTGAGCAGAGCAAGCTTCCTGAAGGAGCACAGCCGGGCGGCGTGCTACACTGCAAGCTACTTCCCCCTTTTAACCTAGAGTGTCCACAAGTGATTCAGCCAAGGAAACTAACGCAGTCACGGAGCGCCTGAGAGGCGTCGTCAGCGACAATCGTGGCTCCATTGATTTCAAGAGATTCACAAAGCTCGCGGGATGGTTTGTCGGCGATGTTTGAAGGCGATGGAACCCTAGAGAACCACGTCCTAATCTCTCCTGCATCTTCCAGCGAGAGCAAAGCCGTTGCAAGGGCCTTCGCTATGAAGCTCTTGCCCCGACCCGAGATGCACACATCTCTCGAAGTGTTGTTGTCCAGGTAACACACAAGCGGCCGGTTTCGGAAAAGGTCTTTCCAGTGTATCAACGATACAAGTAGGGCTAAGAATTCTAGCTCGAAGATGATTGTCTTTTTCACACCCTCACCAAGCTTCTTCCGCACTTGCTCACCAACACACATGGAGAAGAACCCCAAGCACTCACCCTTGGGTCCGAAGGCCACTGCACCCAGCCCCGCGCACCAAGCAGCGCCGGGTTCGTAGCAGGCGTCCGTAAAGAGAAACAAGGAGTCCTGATGAGTTGCCGTGACCACATGTGGCCTACTCTCCTGCAAACAATTGTGGAAACGAAGCAGAGAGTCCCACAAGTCTCCATCAATCACCTCATCATGTGTCGAATGCACATGCCGTGACACTGCCTGCAAGCTCAAGCGCGACGCCCGTCCGAACAAGAAACTATCGCAAAATTGCATCCTGCCGCGGAGGCGTTGTGCTTCCGCCCTTGTCAGTCTCCGCGAAGCTAACAAAGTAGAAATTACGGTGGTTAGCTCAGTGATCCTAGTTGGGGTGTTGGAAATGGTGACTAGCCCCTTAGGGGACTGGGCAAGATTAAACAAGACACCCAACGCTTTGAAGGATGTACTAAAATCGACGGCTTTCGAACCGCATTCGTCGAATAGCCAACCTAGAAGTCTGAAGAAGGTGCAAACGGTTGCCTCCGTGTGTCCGATGTCACAGGACTTGGCGATTGTAATAAAATCGTCAAAGAATACGCTCCAGCACAGGCTTAGCGCCACACATCCCAGCCACCACACGGCTGTGGCTACTCGAAGGAATCCGAACACTGACCGGGAAGCTCCAAACGGAAGTGCAAGCAGTTGATCAAGCTCAATGGAACCCGCAGCGGGGTTCCAATGAGCGACGTAGGAGTGTCGCAGAGATTCTGGATGCACCGGCAGCTGTCTATAGGCAGACCGCAAATCATACGGTCGACCTTGAAGGGGCACTCCTGGGGCGAGTCGCATGAACGTCAACATGGCAGCAGCCACGACGTCTGGCCCGTGGGGTTTAGGAGACTCCTGAACCGTAACCAACTCGTTAACCCCGCTGAAGCTCAAGTCATCCACTAACCTAATCTTCTCCCCCTGCCTAAGCCCGAATCTACGACTAATCAAGCTGTCCTGCGAGAGTGATTGCAAAGGAATGGGTCCCGTAGCCCATCCCTTTTCCCGCTCTTCGACCGTCTTCTCATGGACCACGGCGTCCACATCGCCTTGCGGTTTGATGCACTCCAGAACTCTAGACCTAGCACCAGGGGCCCACTGCTCGAGATCAACAGCTTGGCGCACCGCTGGCTTAAACGTTGGCGGGAATATTCCAGTGTTCGGCGTCTGGCCTGTGAGCCTGATGCCGCGCGTGATCTCATCGAAAACTTCGGGATCCGGATACTCATAAGCCGAAAGGAGTTCCTTGAACAAGAGCAAGCGTTTTGGTGCCAAAATGCTGGACACATGGGGTGCCAAAGATGCTTTAAAGGAAGCTTCTTCACTTTCCAACTCCTTTGCCCTTGACAGCCACGTCTTGAAAAAGAGCGCTCGGTCTCGAGCTAATTGCTCGGCTGAAGAAGATGCATTCCGCTGGATGGCATCCTGCAGTACCTGCGGGAGAGCAGCTTCCCACTTGCAAGGGTGTCCGGCCCTGATTGCTGCAGCCACAAACTCCTGGGGATCCCTAGGAACACCCCAAGCCGACACCCACTCTTCACCCGAAAACCCCGAACCAACCCCCTTTTTAACCGTCTTAGTAACCCGAAGCAACTGAGCTCCAGTTGGAAGGACACGCAAGGGGCATTGAAGGTGAGGAGGCAATTGAAGGTCAGACTTTAAACGCTCCATGCGGGCAACCGGCCAGTCCATGTCACCGCGCACCAACAGGACTTGCTGATGTTCAGAGACAAGGGCGGGGAACTTGGAGGCCTTGGGCTGGGACATTGTCGCAGCTCTTGTACTTGCCACCTGAGGCGCGGCGAAGAGGAAGCGCCGGGGCACAAAGCCATCGGCCAACTTTGCAGCTACCTCCCAAGTGTATGTTCGATCCCAAAGCTGAGCCGTCTCAGAGGAGACAGCAGGCGCGCCATGTGCAGCGGTGGCAAAGCCATCGAAGACATCACGATTGCTAACCAGCAAAGAACTGGCATTTGCATCGGCACAATCAGCAAGAGGGAAAACTCTCAAGTAAGGGCAGAGGCTTCGCACCTTGCGGCCAGCTGCAGAGCTCCAGAAGGTTGAAGTCGCCGGCAACTCAATGGACACAAGAAGGGCAAGTTCCACAGCACGAGAGACGAGGTATTGAACAGCTCGTTCCAAGGGTGCAGACATCACAACTGGCGGGGCAAAATGCACACCGACAACGTGATCGGCTTCCAGCCAGGAGGACAGAAGCTGCTGATTTGTCGCTACATCAAGAACCTTAGGCGGGGCTGCAGGTGCAGACACTTGACTGGAGTCGACTGCTAAAGATCCAGAGGCCCCACGAGCCCTGAGCTGGGCCGTCAGACGACCCACGCCGGAGAAAATTTCAAGCACAACTGGAAAGCTGGACACCCCTGATGGCGCTGCGAAGACATCGCCAGTGCCTAAGTCGGGAAGGTTGAACCCTAGTTTCAAAAGGTCGCATATCAGGTCGGGCGAGAAAGCCTGGTATCCCTTAACAACGAAACCCACAAGAATGCACCTATTACCTGCCCACGGCTGAGTGCAATGCAGGCTGTGTGAGTCAAATTGCACAACTCCATCAGCAAAAGAGTGAATGCATCCTGGTTCCAAGCTCGGATCAAGTGGGCACTGCACGGTGCCGCCGCCTTGAACCCAGATGCCGCCACCACTGAAACTCGATAAGGCAACCGCTGTGTTGAGCGATTCACAGGCATTATTGAGGTCTCTGTGCAACCACGCAGACTGATTCGTAAGCAATGCAAGACTGGTGAAAACCGCATCGTCGCAAGCGGCACGCAGCACAACGGCCAGTAGGGCCGATACCGCAGGGAAAAGTTTCATGTTCGACCTGGCTCCCAGGTTGCCCCCGAGGACGTATGCGCCAGAGGTCCAGGAATGGCCTCCAGGATTTACGCCATCGGAGCGCGCGGGAGCTTCAGATGGAAGCAAACTGACAAGTTCAGCTATGCAAGTGAATTCAAAGGACTTGGAGTCAAGAATCGTCCTGGCGAGAGCTTCCGCAGGATGATCAACGAAAGGAACCTGCCGGCCAAACTCTTCACACAAACCTGAGAAAAGTACGGGATCGAGCTTGACCGGGCCGTGCCCTTCGAAGATGTGAGCATCACCCGTGGCACAACCAGAGGCAGCAGCCTCCGGTGATTGTCACTCCGTATGGTTGAGGAGCGCGTGATCACCGAAGCATTTTGCACACACATGCTTCCTGGTGCAACCAGGCGTATTGCACTTCCCATGGATGCTGTAAGTGAAGCATATGGGCTCACCCGCCGGCGTGACGGCCACACCGCCCCGGTCCCGAATGAATTTAGGGATGCTGATCCACGGTGCGGCTTTGCCTTTCTTACCCTTTCCTTTGCCCTTCTTTGCGTCCGGGTTCACTGAGGCAGCAGCGGCATCCGGTTGCACGCGCGGCCGCTTCCAAGGTCGGCGAGGAGTGTTGCTCCCCTTGCTAGCCAAATGCATCAAAGCAAAACTGACCTGGTAGGACTCAAGTGCTGCATGCAAGGCTTCGTCCATAGGCCGTGCACCACTGGGTTCCTGTTTGGGTTTGATGTTAAGCTCAATGAGACGAGTAAAGACCAACCTATCGGCTTCAACGATCTGGCTCACAAAAATGCGATTATGGTTTGGCGGCGGGTCACGATGCATATGACCAAACAGCTTGGTCACATACTTATCATATGCATTCCAGCTGACAGCTTGGGCAAATGTGTAAGCCAGGCCCCGACGCCGCAACGCCTCCTGGACCTGAAGGGCCGAGGATGCAGGCATGGAAAATTCGTCCTGTGTTTCTTTGATGATGAGCCGACTCTGGTCGATTTCCACCTGTCGCGATGAATCCTTGGCATGCGTGACCTCATGCAGGCGACTGACACATTTGTCGGGAGAAAGGTATTTCAATTGACCGACAGCTTCCTGATGAGAGCATTCATCCAAAAGCTTATAACCAATGTGACCTCATGTGTCATGCGGGCCTTTCTTTAAGTCCACTCAAATATGTCCTTCAATCACATATGTATTAAAAGTGGAAATGAGACCTGTTAGAGAGCTTACGAGCCTCAGAAATAGCAGCACTCGGACAAACTACGCTCGACAGAATCTTTTCTTTCGGTATGGCAAAGCCTCTCGGGGAAAGAAGTGCATGCTCATGATCCCCCTCGGGATCCCAACACATGTTGGCACTTCGCCAACAGCCCCTCCGGGCTCGTAGAAAAGTTATGGGGCATCTTTCACCCCGCAAAGTTTGGGTGGGAGTGGTGGGTACAAACTTTGCTGCACGGAAGGTTCCCGCCCACCCACCCTATGTTTGAGCATGCGCGGAACAACAAGGATTCGTAAAAGTTCAAGTGGAATCTCATGACACATGAAGCGGTTTCGAAAAACTTCTTCAAAACTTTCGAAACCTACCAAAAAGGTTATAAAGCCTTATGGGACTAGTTTGTGATTTTTAGCGTCCCAAAAACGGCTTATAACCAATGTGACCTCATGTGTCATGCGGGCCTTTCTTTAAGTCCACTCAAATATGTCCTTCAATCACATATGTATTAAAAGTGGAAATGAGACCTGTTAGAGAGCTTACGAGCCTCAGAAATAGCAGCACTCGGACAAACTACGCTCGACAGAATCTTTTCTTTCGGTATGGCAAAGCCTCTCGGGGAAAGAAGTGCATGCTCATGATCCCCCTCGGGATCCCATCACATGTTGGCACTTCGCCAACAGCCCCTCCGGGCTCGTAGAAAAGTTATGGGGCATCTTTCACCCCTGCACTCTTTGCCCCGTGACTTTGAGAACTCTGCCGCTGATGAAGCACACAATCCGATCTTCAAAGTACTCGCCGAACACAGGGAACCTCCAGTCGGACCTTGAAGGTCCATCGCCTGGATTCGACTTGCTCGGGACCCGAGCGAACCACGAGATCGCCGGTCCCAGCGAGTCGGCACACTCGTAGTGAAGCAAAATGCTCCTCCATAGATCATCGCGTGAAGACCCTTTGATCATCGCAGACAAAACTCCACTGTGGTCCACGTAAAAGACGACCCTCTGATCATTCAGAAAATCTTTCCAGACATGTCGGGCCGTCGGGCCGCCACCACCGCGAAAAGCTCGGTAGGACCTATCAAGTGTCTCTTCCCCAGTCCCGCCCATTGCTCGACGACTGATTCGTCCAGGTAGCACCCGAACGCCCTCGTCTCATAGGAACCAGTTGGAAGCACCCGATACATGACACCTCCGATTGAGCAGCTAAACTTGTCGCCCAGCTTGTCGCATGCACCATCAGTGAAAACGAGAGTCTGGCCGCCAACGGGAAGAACCTGGATCTCGCGTGGCCGGCCCTCAAGCATCCTCTCCCTCAAGCTTCTGAAGACAGTAGCGTCCAAAGAAGATAGAACGTGACGGTGACGAGCACTCGAAAGCCAGCGAATCTGAGCCAAAGCCAAGCGTCCCTGTCGGCCCATCAACTGACTCTCCGAAAACTGTATCCGGCCAAACAAAGAGGGGATCTGCTTTGGATCAATACAGCCATCCGCAAGGATCTTGTCGATCGAAGAAGCAATTTCCTTGGATCTCTCAGGCTTGTTTCTGACCCTCAGCACTCCGCCCTCCGTGTCAGTCGCGTCCAGTCGGACGCCCAAGACGTCGGCTGTCTGCGAGAAGGGAAGGTCCTTGTCGCTCGCCCAGTCAACTCCAAAAAGTCGCAGCGCTGCCTTCACTGAGGAATCATGGTTCTCGGCAAGGGCCCTGACCTCCACCGACGGAAAATCGTCGAAATAGCTCGCCGCAGCGAGCTTCAGCTCCCAGAGAATCCTTTGCCACAGCCTCGAAAACCTGTTGAACTGCCCGACCGAAGCCAAAGCCCCGAACGGCAACACGCGGCAGACGAATCCCTTTGTTAAGCCGTCCGCTGGATCCTTCAAGGTCACCACGCACATCCGATGATGTCCTGGCCGGATAGCAAACTGTTTATAAGCTGAGCGCAGATCCGTAGTCTTCAAGACCGGCGAGCAACGACGAGTGTCTTGCTGCCAATACGAATGCAAAGGACCAGACAAAACAGAGCCGTCGGATTTCCGGAAGAAAACTTCGCGTCGGCCCAAGCTGGCCCTCATCAAAGCCATACAGGCCCAAGTGATTTCATCAAGCGCGCGCAAACCTATCCTCTCCATCACTGTCCAAGCTTGATTGACGGCATTCTCGGACAGGTCGTCGATGGGTCGCAATTTGTTCTTTTGCCGGATGGAGAATCTGCGCACAGGTATCCACTTTGAGTCAAACATGTTCTGCAGTTGTTCCCACGTGTAGGGCCCATGCAACCAGCCTTTCTCATCGGCTTCAGCACAAGTGAGATCCCAGAGCTCCTGATCATCCGGGTGGCTCGCATCTCCCGACACCTTGCCCCACAGGGCTGGCTTCAAGAACTTCGCATGATCAAGCAACTCGTCCACGGACATCGAAGAGGGTTTCGGATCCACCTCGAAGATGCCTGTAACCTTGGCCTCACCCACAAGCTCAAAGCCGTTCTCGATGTCGTCGATTATCGTGGCATCAGGCCACTGCAAGTCTTCAGCCACACGTCGCAGGAGAGTCAAGTTCTTGCGTGCAACTATCTTCTCGACATCTGGGTGAAGCCTCGCGTGCAAGGAGGCCTCTGCTCCACGAAGTTCCTGAGACCACTTTTTCCATTTCGTCAAGGTGTCCAAGCGATGCCTCATGACAGCCAACGGCCCTTTGGTGAGAGTGAACGCAAGAATCTCGAGCATCTCATCTGGCACTGCCGAAGACAAGTCGAAAGGATGGGACAGAGTGACTGCTGTCCTGACGAACTCATCCTCGGTTCTGTAAACCCCAAAAGTAACCCTAAAGCCCGAACCTGAAGGACCCTCGCCCCCTTGCACAGGCACCACCTGAAGGATGCGGGCACCAACAGGCACCGATTGAAAAGCGGCCGTCAAGGAATTTTTGGCATCATACCTGAGAGCATCCATGGATGGAACCTGCAAAGTGACACGATGCTTGTATTCAGGCATGAGCGGCGGCGCCTTGGAAACCTTGGGTTGGCGTTGCACTGCAATGGAAGACCGATGATTGGCCGACGGCTTGACGGCATCAGGAGACACAGCAAACCCTAGGGTCCCCGCGAAAACAACTATCTGGGCGGCGAACCGACTGCACAACAAACGCGGTCTGTCCCGCAGGGAAGTCACTGACCGGAAAGTTTTAAGAGGTTTCTGACTTTCGTCACACGGCACAGCAAGGGCGCTCAAAGTCTGGACGTTAGTATGCAACAGCATGTGCTGGTGTTGCTCGCCACCATGGGCAAGCAGGTCGAACTTTACGACATGCGAGGCAGGCAGCGCCAAAGTCGCCCACAGCCGGCTGCTTAGCGGATTCAAGACTCCCCATCCGATATCAAGAGTGGCGAGCAATGCCAAGAATGAGCTGAGCTCGGAAGCCACCTGGGCAAAACCTTCGGGAAGGTCGCCTGAAGAGGCGGCCACAGTGGGGGCGGCAAGCACGAAGACGACCCTCCTAGCGAGCACAACCTTAACTAGGAAGTCCCAAGAGGCAGCCTTCCTAAGATCCAGCGACACAACGCTGAGCAAAGCTCTCTGCTTCAGGTGCGGTTGCTCGATCGCGAGCACATCGAATCCGGCTGCCTTCAGGGAGGCCCCGAACTCGCCTGCATTGCAAAAGAGGTCAAGGCACAGCAGAGAGGCGGCTTGCAGTTGAGCCGGGAGGGCATCACAGGCTGCATCCACTTGAGAACTTCTGAGGTCATGGAAGGTACCCCTGACCTCGATCAAATCCGGACTGAAGTTGGGCGGCGTCTGGGGCACAGGGAAATCAAGCTCAGCCAAGCGCGCCCTACAGTCCACGTCAAGCTCCTGAACCCTAGCAATACAAAAACCAACTATGACTACGCGTCGGCCGCTCCACGGCCGTGTAGCGTGCACATGGCTGCAAGCATAGAAGGCCTTCGGTCCGGAGGCAACATCGATCAAGATGCCGCGCTTCGTAACACCATCGACCTCACAAGGAAAAACGCCCTGAGCTGACTCGACCCAGACCTCTCCTTTCCGAAAATTGCTGAGCGGCACAAGAATGTTAGGGAAAGGAGAGTTGAAGCGGTCGACATGAGGCTCCGTCTTCAGGTCTGAAAACACACTCAGAGTAGAAAATTTCATTCCCGGGGCAGCGCGTTGCACCGCCTGAGCGAAAATCTTTGAAGCCGCCGGATGTTTGCTGCAGTTACTCCTGAGACCGAGCAGAGGCCCCTTCACGTAGGCACCAGTCGAGAAGGCCGCGGCTCCATCGTCACGAGTCTTGCTCAAAAGCGGCTCCTGAGGAAGCATGTCAAACAAACGAATCAACTCCTGGGCCGTGGGATTCCTGTCCAAAGACAGAAGCTCCTCGGCATAAGAGTCCGCATGAACCTTTGGATCGAGTGGGTTCGATCCCTGCTCTTCAAATGGCATTGCTTGGGCCCCTTCGGGCGCACTCAAAAGAGGCTCATCCCCTTCGGGATGGGCCTTAAGCACTTCCTGGATTGCTCGAGAATGGCCTTCGCCACTCCCAGACCCGGCCACCGAATCTTCCGTACTCGGGGCCAGGATCGCACTTGATAGTCAAGCGCCCGCCTGCTCGCCATCTTTCGGCTTCTTGGGACACTTGATAGCGGCGTGGTTCATGCCGCACTTGGGGACTGCACAGATGTGCAATCCCTTCTCACACTTATTGCCGGTCACCTTGTTCGGGCATGACCCCAGGTTAAAGGCATAGCAGATCGGATGTCCTTTCGCGGTGTGCGAATTGCACCCACGAAGCTCGCTCGGCATGGCAACGAAGCGCTTCTTTCCTTTGCCATCTTTGCCCTTGCCTTTGCCTTTATACGGTGACTCCCTCAGTCGAGCAGGCTCACTGGGACCGTACGAAGACGAAGGGCCGCCCTGTAGCGGCTGCATCAACGACACCACCTCGTGCATGCAGCTGACTGAATCTATGATGCCATCGATCGGACGACCTTTGGCATCCGACTGGATGCCTGTGCGCGTATGGTCCTGAAGCTCCAGAAAGAGCCTCGAGTCTGCATTCTGCAACTGAGTGAATGTGACTTGCTGGTAACCCGGCGGAGGTGGAGTCAACCTCGCCTTCATCAACTTCTGATGCCACATGTCAAGCTTTGTGAAAGAGACAATGTTAGCTTGATCGAATGCAAGAGCACGCCGCTGCAGGGCCTGCAGAAGCATCACCTCAGTGGATGTATCGGCCACCTGATCTTTGGCCTTGTTTTCCACCTTAAGCTTACCACTCTCGCCGTCAATCGAAAGCTTCAGGTCCTTCTTACCGTCGCCTAGGAGCTCTTGTTCCCGCGACGTGCACTTTGACCAAGGCACATACTGAATCACATTGGCCTCGTACTGACCGACGCACAGGTCGACCAAGGCCTCTGATGGTTCCGAGGAACCCTTTATCGTGATGCCAGTCAACTGTGAACGCTGGCGCTCAATTCTCTCAGCCCTCTCGGGCTGACTCAAATGACGAACTGTCGGTTCCTCTACCCTTTCGACCTGCTGTCGCATCTCCGAAGTGACAATGGCATAAGCTTCATGAAATACGGCTCTGAAAGCTGCTTTCTGACTCATCTCTGGGTCCTTTCCAAGCATCGCCTTAAGGGCCTCGATCAACGGACCTTCGTCCGCAGCCCCCGGAGCAAAAGAGCTCACGAAGGCCAGCTGCTTCAAACTCTTAACGTGCTTCAGGATGAGATCACGCTCAGCCTGATCAAACCCCGCCTTCGAGAGACGCGACACCAGAACCGGCTCGGACTCTGAGTATGCGGAAGCCATGGCTCACTCCTTCAGCACGGGTCTACCTTCAAAGTAGCTCGAGCGACCCTCACTTGAAATCACAAGGCGGCATCTGCGACTCCGGGCTCTTGAGACCACTGCAATGCCGAGCACAGCGTTCCTTGTATTCCGTGCGCATATTCATCCCGCCTTCGCGGGCTCTCACGATGAGAGGCTCACAAAAATTCGCATGGCGGCACTCCAGCCAGCCAGCCTACGATCCCTCACCTCGCCTCTGGAAAGCACTGCCGGCAGATCGGATGCAAAAACCTGGGTATCGCACTGCACTCCAAGTAAGACGATGTGATCTGCCTGCCACACTTAAAAGTTGTGCCCTCCTCAGAAGCGACTAAGTGTATGAAGCGGGTGGTGACATGCCGAAAAACCGCCTTGCCCTCCAGGCTTTCTCGAAGGCAACCGCTCGGCTCAAAATCGCCGACACTGTCCTCAACCACCTTCTCCTCCTCGAGAGTGTCCGGCTCCTCCTCGTCATCGCTCCTGTCGGAAGAAGAATCTGAACCGACCTCGGCCTTGTCATGAGCATCTCCCCTGGCAGCCAAAGACTCCGCAAACATGCCCGAGCGCGTGGCGTCCGGGAAGAAGCGCCTGTAAGCGACCGCAGAAACCATTTCCTCCAGCTCACGCAATGCAGGGGAAACGCTGTCCCTCGCGTAGATCACATCCGTGCCGGCGTTGGCACTAGAATGATATCCGAGTATCGACCTGATCTCCTTACTAGCTCCCCACTTGGACATCCAAGATAAAAGCGTAGCTTTGCAGGAGTGAGTGCCCACGGCCTTGACCGATGCGACATCCTCGCCTGCACGATAGAGAAGGTGGCGAAGCCACCGCGCTCCAGCCTGCGCAGACATAGGCGCCTTCTGCCATTGGCCACCGTCGGTGGGGGACGGTAGCAGGGGCATGTCAGGCCCCCATGCGGGCCCCGCCCTGCCAGCCACCTCCAACCAAGCCAACGCCCAAGAATCCTGCTCAAGGCCCCATATCGGACTGACCATAGCAAGATATCGGGTCTTACGCTCCAAGTTGTGACTCGTTTTACTCCTGGTGACCCTCGCTTCAAGGTACCCACGCGGTCCGCGCTCACCTTGCACGATGTCTTTCGCCAGCTCACCAGAACACTGCATGTCCGAATAGCGGGCTCTTGCAAACACACAATACAAAAAGCACCCTGCCGCGTATTTATCGACATCCGCACGGACTTCAGGTATAAGTCCCAGCACAATTCGCTCCAAAGCCCGAATCTGTGAAGCCGTCAGCGGCGGCTTCTGTTGCAGCTTTCTCTTCTCCAAGTAGAGCTTCGAAACTGCGCCAGCCAGCCGGCTGCTAACACAATCGGCCGGGACCTTCGCCTCCAAGACATATTGCATGAAGCCAATGGAACTCATAAAGCTGGAGGCAAAGGTAGGCGCAGCCCCACTGCAGTATTCCTTGACGAAGCGATACATCTTCTGCTCGGACAAAGGGAAAGGCTGCTCTCTGATGCGCCAGCAGAATGCCATGTATCTCAGGACCGGGCCAGCCCTGCTGTGAAGCGTACTGCTCGCCTTGAGTGAGAAAACATCTCCTAGAGACTCCTGCAGTGAGGCTGGCAATCCAGCTTCAGCATCTTCCGCCACTCTAGCACAGACCCCAAAGAAGTCGCCACCCTCTTTAGCAATCCGAAGCCACTTCATGACAGCCGCATGTCTGTTATCCGATTGTCTCTGAATCCAGGAAGGTCCAACCTTCCGTGGCAGCTTGCCTCCAGTAGCAGTCAGATTTATAGCCGACGGGCCACTCGGAGCTTTCACAGGAGCAGCAGCCTTATGAGTAAGCACATTCCCAAGACGCCCCCTTCCCAAGAAAGCTTTCGGCAATACACTCGGCACATTCACAATGCTTCTCTCCCATGGCTGCTTTGAGTTGCTCGTAGAATTCTGATGCACAACATGAGCAAGATGCCCTTCGAATGCAGCATCAAACGTCCTCTTCTCTGCCATCACGAGAGAAGCTGCCCATGTGCCACTGAGGCGGTACACCAGGGGTTCACGGGCCTGAAACCTGTTTCACACAGCTTGGCCCGGAGCCCGCGTTCTACACAACTCTCTTTTACCCCCCGTACAAACTTTGCTGCACGGAAGGTTCCCGCCCACCCACCCTATGTTTGAGCATGCGCGGAACAACAAGGATTCGTAAAAGTTCAAGTGGAATCTCATGACACATGAAGCGGTTTCGAAAAACTTCTTCAAACTTTCGAAACCTACCAAAAAGGTTATAAAGCCTTATGGGACTAGTTTGTGATTTTTAGCGTCCCAAAAACGGCTTCCGCCCCGGCTCCAGGGGCCCTTCAATGTTGAGGCCACTCAGCTCATCCCGCAACTGCTGAAGCCGGCGCTCACGCTCAGCCTCTGGAACCCGCTTACTAGCAGAATCAGGTTCGGTCACCTGAGCTCGGAGCTGCGTGAGTGCTAATGTTTGTGCCTCAAACAATAACCGCTTCAACGATGCAAGATCAGCGGCTGATGCTGCTGGCACATGATTGCGGCACCAATCGGTGAACTCAGCCTCCGGTATCAACTGGCCTGGTTGGCCCACTGTGTAAGCGAGCTGCCCCAAGGTCTTGAACCCGTGGCGCCGCAACGCCTGCACTGAGGCGTCTGACAGCCGCACCTCAGCTGCACGCTGCACGAAATGGGCTTCTGATTCCACCAACGAAGTCATAGCGGCGCCGCAGGACCTAATTTATCCACAAGTGTCATATCCCGCTGAACAATCAGACATGACAGTACTGGTGCGTTCTCGGTGAAGCTGAGAATCACAAGATCACAAGATGGCACATGCCATTTACTCGAGCCCACGGCGACTTGACAAATCATTCGACTATGTCGAATCTTGGCAGGGCCATGCCCACTTGCCGAGGAGGAGGGCAGCCCACATAAGGCACTTGCCCTCCACTTCCTCCCGATCGCATGTTCGCTCAAGAGGCTCGTAGCCCACAACAGCACCAGCGGCGCATGCCAACTTCAGGTGCACAGCTCACACACTCATGCGCAGCCCCTCGGCCATAGCTCAGAACTTTTCTCTCTCAAGCCGAGTTTCGCTCACAGGTCTTGCACACGAGGTTTCCCATGCGCGTGATGTCCTCTACCAAGTCATAAGCTTGGGTTCTGGGCCTTCCACACATCAAAATTTTGTCACGATAAACACGGTGCAAAATGTGGGAGCGACGATGCACTACCCACCCACCTTCAGGCTCGACACGCTTATCATCCGCACATGCTGCTCTGCGTCTTTTCATGGGGGACCCCTCTGGTTCTCCATCAGAGTCCGACTCACTGCTACTACTTGAACTCGAAGTGGAGCTGCTACTCTGCCCTTCATCCCCAGAGTCAGGTTCCATAGCCCCCGACCGTTCATCTGCCAGCGGTACGCTGGAAGTCTCCACGGGCACCGTGAAATGTCCTGGCGAAGCAATCTCAGCAGCTGGCGGCGGGAACGCCCACATCAATGCCCTTGAAGCATCTGGAGCAAAGGATCCGTTCACGATGAACTTGATGAGGGCCTCAAGCTTTTGCACATGCGGCAAACTAAGTTCCACCGAATAAATAGCCTCAGTCCCTTCAGTCGCGTAGGCGTGCCTTCCTAGGCAACTCCGAGTCAGGCGGTCAAAGCCCGCCTTACTGGCCCAGGAAAGGCAGGTCCTTTTCATGCTGTGGCTCGTAACTCGATCCCCTTCACTAGGGGCATCTCGGCTGAGGCCGAGCAAGAGCCGAACGAAAACTGACACTTCGTCGGATGTGATGCTACGTCTGCATAAGCTGAGGGAGTCAAAACTCCGAGGCGGCCGAAATAACGGACCACCAACCTCGCCCCTCAGGGTTAAGTGCACAGCCACAAAGGCATCCTGGGCCGCGTGTATCCAAGGCCTGCTGTGGATTCCTGCAACTGGAATAACAATGGGGAGCAGCCGAAGTTTCTTCGCCGTGGCCCTGGATGTCTTATGGTGCTTGGTATAGATGATAATGTAACCTTGGGAGCCTTGCCGTGACCGATCGGTGTCCTGCGGCACATCCCACTCAATATGGGAGACCCTCTTCAAGTCACTATGGCGGGCACGGCCGTACAAGGCAACCAAGCAGTAAGCACAGAAAGCACGGTCCCACCTGCTCGTATGTTCACTATGTAAGGCTTCATGAATCACAAGGATTTGATCCACCGTCAGAGGCGCTGCCTGCCTAACAACCCCAGCCTGACCAGCTAATTTCTCTGCGAGGCCGACACACTTGCGGCTGGGCTCCTCCACGCGGGACAACCCCAACACAAACTTGCAAAACCTCACGGAGGCCAAAAAGGATGTTGCACTCGAGGCAGCCGCGCCAGACGATTCCAAGAACTTCAAGTACTTCCAGTAAGCTGCATCACAAAAGGCCGACACATTGGAGTTAGATACAACATCCAACCACCTCAAGAAAGCGGCAAACGTGTTGGCACGCTTGGTGACAGTGTGCACCGACCTGGTACCAAAGCAAGCAATGATCTCCTCCTCAGTCTCAGGAGCAAGGCCGAGCTCCCTGGCGTAACGAAAAACCACCAAAGCCCATTTGGCGGTTGCGCGGTGCAGCAACCTTTCCTCTTTCAATAGATCGTCATCGTCACGGAATTTCCGAATGGCATGCTCACAAATATTTCCTTCAAGCTTCAAAGCTGATGGCTGCTTAGCCGAGCCAAGGTCCGCACGCGAAGCCCCTGGCAACGGAGGAGGCGTCCCCTTTAAAGCAAACGATGCCGGAACAAGATTCGTAAGTGCCCCTGCATCATCTTCTGAAAATATCGCTTTCATGAGAGGGGTTTCCCAAGGCAATGGCAAGGCTGCCACCGGATCCTCAGCAAAGCGGGCCACAGCCTGCTGCACAGCTCGATCCACGGATACCTGAGCAGGCACTGCCGATGATGACACTCTCACACCCTTTGAAAGCTGATTTCCTGACTCCGGCGTCACCACACACTGCCAGTCACTAATGTCACTCCCTTCTGCATGGCACGCGGCCTCCGTGGCTGCATCCAAGTCTTCTGAAACCGGTTTAGGCTCCTCCGCCACACTGAGTGACGAGACACTCAGAGCATCCCAGGGGCAAGGCTCCGGGCTGCACTCGGCCCACTTATTTAAGGACCCTAAATCATCTACATGGGAAGGGGAGGTAGCATTGCACGCCAGCTCACCCTCGGCGTCTGAAGCTGAGAGAGCCCCACGGAGTGAAGCATCGACACCAGCATTCGAACCCACAAGTGAACTAGCCGAGCCCCGAGGATCCGAACAAACCGAACCCGAACTAACACCCCCCCCTTTAACCATGCTCTGGACTGGAGGCACTGGCGGCGCCACGGCCGCAGCCGGCAAAGCAGAGGGAGCCCCTGTTGCAGGGCTCTGTGGGACCTGGTGAGATAAGGCAGCCGCAGGACCTGAAGGCGCATCGTCCTCAAGCTGTTCACGGGACACTCCGGCTAGTTGTTGTAAAATGGCAGCGCTGAAAGAGTTCATGAGCACAGGCTAGGACGTCTATTGAAGCAAAGGCAGGCGCAAGGCCAGGCGATACAATGAGTGCCGCGCAGGGTCGAGAATGTCAGGCGAGCTCTGCAGGAGCTGCACGCGGTCTGAGCAAGACAAAAGTTCGCACAGGACTGCACAGGCGCGAGGCTGATACACCACGTCTCCTAGGTCAACAGCACCTAGGGCAGAAGAAGCGGCAGTGCTGGATGTAGTGCTATGTTGCGGCGACTGGGCTTGCAGCAACACTCGAGCTTCCAGTCTGGCCAAGCGCACAGCCACTTGAGCCTGAAACTCACGAACCTCGGCGCGCAACTCAGCAAGAGCTGCTTCCATGGGCCGGCCCAGCCGGCGAGAACGAACTAAAATTTTTGCAAGTGCAAGTGCAACACCATGTCATGAGAGCATTGCTGTTTCATGCAGTAACATGCAATGCCTGTCTCAAGCTTGAAGCCAACAGGCAGCGGATGGCTGAAGAGTCCTTTGAACAAGATGCAAGCTGCAATCTGCGAAGTATCACATGCCAAAAAGGCAAGCAGCCAAAAAGGTGGAAACTTACTAAACTCGAGGTGGCCAAATTCTTTTCCTTACACCCGTAAAAGAATTCAGAAGAAAACTTTCACATTTAAGTTTAAGGCGCTAGCAGCGGAGCGCTGCCAACACGCTTTTGCATTATCATCGAGACTGAGATTGATACTTCGAGCATGAGGGAATCGGATTATGCCTTCGCCTCCGATATGAATACATTTTACTGCTGCTCCGAATTGGTGAGCATCATCGATTGAAACACCCCCCTGACGAGACATGTCGAGGATGAAATCGTTGAAGGGGCTGTGACCGGTTTCAAGATGTACCCCCCTGGTTGGACAGACAGAGGGGAGAGCAGGGAGAGCGGGAGCGGCAGACAGCATACCGGAGGAAATAAGAGTACCCTTACGAAAATGACCAATAGACATAAGGTTGCGGCCCCGCACCTTAGCATCAGTGCAGGCCTTGGTCAGGATATCACCAGCCTCGAATTGAGAGGGACACGTCACGAATAGAAAATCCCCAGCGTGATAACGCTCGTTCAAAGCAGAGATATCGATGCGCTGGGTACGAGACATATGACGCATGTTCGGATTGTGACCAGTGATAACGACACGAATAGCGGCTTCATTGTCCTCCATGACCCGCAATTGGAAACGGCGGCCCATCATATACTCCCACATAGACAGAGCAGGCAGGCCCAATTTATACACAGCGTGGTCAAGAGAGACAATTTCGGCCTCGGGGGTAGACTTCGACACAGAAGTTTGCTTCTTGGACAAAGCATTAAGCGGCATAAAGCTACGCGGCCCAAGAAGACACATAAAGACACCAGAGGTGCTCTTAGAATCGGTGCGGTCACCCGCAAGATCGGCATCGCAGTAGAGCACCAGCTCCAGCATCTCGGGTGCATCACCAATCCACCCATACAAATTGAGATCGAGGGTAGAATTGATATAGCACACCAGTCGATGGAGCTTCTTATCACATAAGCCATCCCACTTGGTGATGAGACTGGCAAGTGCCTGCACAGGCCGAATCAAATCGTATCGCCCCATGCGAGCACCATACAGGATTTTCATCAGGACGGCGGCTGCACAATCGCCGAGAACGCCTTTACCAGGAGGGACAGGCGTGTCAATGGGACGGCCCATCAGGCGGTTTACATCAGGGCGATCCGGATTGGTATCGAACTCCGGTCGCGATTCATCGAGGAACGGCGTGTCAGCCGACCGCAAAGTGGCTTTATACTTAGGACCACAGAGCTCAACATAGCGAGAAACGCATTGTTCCATGAATGACCGCATATCGTATTTGATCATTCGAATCTCTCGAGGACCAACTGAGCCCTGCGCGACACTGGTACCTCGATCGCCAAAAGTCAGCTCGGGAAACGCCTTCTTGGGTTCCTCGAAGCGCGTCCAATAGGATCGCGGATCAAAGGCACTAGGAACGACGTGGGAGAAGGTAACATGCTCGCATCCCAAGTAACGTTTGATGCTCGAGGGCGGCTCCAATTTAATCTTTGATGCCATGAGTTCCCACCCTTTGGCCAGATTGGCCTTTGGTCCACTGAGTTTGAAGTCATCGACGTAGACCACGAGCATAAGATTAAGTTTGGGATGACGAAACACACTCTTCCAGTCGG